TTCAAAAATTCGATTCGACTGATTCGGCGAATTCGTGAAAAAATTTTGATTCGAGTCGAATATATTCGCTGCGAATTTAACTTATAAAAGGGTGTTTCTAGGCTTCAGAGAGCCTTTATATTAGTGCAGAACACTGTACCTTTAATTTAAATGCCCTTGGAGTCTGCTGGGGAAGAGAAATAATACTGACAGTCAGTATGACATGCAGATGAGTGCCGTCGATCTTAGAATCACCGCACACTTCACTCATTTGGGCAGTCACGGGGCCAAAACCAGAGTGTGGAGCCACAGTGTGGCGGTGGAGGCAGCAGCAATGGGAGGCCATACAGCACCCTATGACAAAAATGGAAACCACCAGCAGTGTGAGGAGACCTGAAAGTGGCACATGGCAGAGTGTGGCGATGGAGACAGCAGCAATGGGAGGCCGTACAGGGACCCATGACACACTCTGGACCTGGCAGCAGCATGAGGAGGCGGTACAGGGGCCCATGACAGATTACGGGCCTGGCAGCAGCATGAGGAGTTGGTACGGGGGCCCATGGCAGATTACGGGCCTGGCAGCAGCAATGGGAGGCCGTACAGGGACCCATGACACACTCTGGACCTGGCAGCAGCATGAGGAGGCGGTACAGGGCCCATGACAGATTACGGGCCTGGCAGCAGCATGAGGAGTCGGTACGGGGGCCCATGACACACTCTGGACCTGGCAGCAGCATGAGGAGGCGGTACAGGGGCGCATGACAGATTACGAGCCTGGCAGCAGCAACTTGGACAGGAGGACGTTCAGCTTCTGCACCGTCGGGTGCGTGCTCGCAAACTGTTGTCTCTTGGAAACGGATTCCAAGAAAGACTGCTGACGGAATCCGTGAAGAGGAGTAGCAGGAGAAGGAGCATCTGAACGAGCGGAATATGCCAACAAGCGACAACAGGGGCCCATGACAGATTACGGGCCTGGCAGCAGCATGAGGAGTCGGTACGGGGGCCCATGGCAGATTACGGGCCTGGCAGCAGCAATGGGAGGCCCGTAATCTGCCAGCACCCTATGACAAAAAATGGAACACACCAGCAGTGTGTGAGGAGACCTGAAAGTGGCACATGGCAGAGTGTGGCGATGGAGACAGCAGCAATGGGAGGCCGTACAGGGACCCATGAGAGACTCTGGACCTGGCAGCAGCATGAGGAGGCGGTACAGGGGCCCATGGCAGATTAGGGGCCTGGCAGCAGCAATGGGAGGCCCGTAATCTGCCAGCACCCTATGACAAAAAATGGAACACACCAGCAGTGTGAGGAGACCTGAAAGTGGCACATGGCAGAGTGTGGCGATGGAGACAGCAGCAATGGGAGGCGGTCAGGGACCCATGAGACACTGTGGACCTGGCAGCAGCATGAGGAGGCGGTACAGGGGCCCATGGCAGATTAGGGGCCTGGCAGCAGCAATGGGAGGCCCGTAATCTGCCAGCACCCTATGACAAAAAATGGAAACCCTGGGCTGGGGGCAGGAGAACCGCCGTATCTTTATCAGTGGCCCAGGCCACCGAATGGCGACGCTGATATGCTGACGCAACGCTGTAGGCCCAACATGGGCCCCATGGACTGGACGCTTGACTTTCTGGCCACATAGTCGACATACGGCTACGTTTACTTCCTCGGGCGGCTTGACGAAAAATTGCCACATCTGTGAGCAACCGCCGAGTAGGAAACTTTGCCCATGGCTACTCCTACACTGGCTGACTGCTACTTCCTCCGTGAGGCCCGGCACCACTACTGGCCGTGGTGGTAGGCTGCAGTGGAGCTGGTGCTCTACTCCGTGCCGTTTGCCTACACTGACACTGCTGCGACCCTGCTGCCTCCTGGCAGCAGCAGCAATGGGAGGCCGTACAGGGACCCATGAGACACTCTGGACCTGGCAGCAGCATGAGGAGGCGGTACAGGGGCCCATGGCAGATTAGGGGCCTGGCAGCAGCTATGGGAGGCCCGTAATCTGCCAGCACCCTATGACAAAAAATGGAACACACCAGCAGTGTGTGAGGAGACCTGAAAGTGGCACATGGCAGAGTGTGGCGATGGAGACAGCAGCAATGGGAGGCCGTACAGGGACCCATGAGAGACTCTGGACCTGGCAGCAGCATGAGGAGGCGGTACAGGGGCCCATGGCAGATTAGGGGCCTGGCAGCAGCTATGGGAGGCCCGTAATCTGCCAGCACCCTATGACAAAAAATGGAACACACCAGCAGTGTGAGGAGACCTGAAAGTGGCACATGGCAGAGTGTGGCGATGGAGACAGCAGCAATGGGAGGCCGTACAGGGACCCCATGAGAGACTCTGGACCTGGCAGCAGCATGAGGAGGCGGTACAGGGGCCCATGGCAGATTAGGGGCCTGGCAGCAGCTATGGAGGCCCGTAATCTGCCAGCACCCTATGACAAAAAATGGAACACACCAGCAGTGTGAGGAGACCTGAAAGTGGCACATGGCAGAGTGTGGCGATGGAGAGCACAATGGGAGGCCGTACAGGGACCCATGAGAGACCTGGACCTGGCAGCAGCATGAGGAGGCGGTACAGGGGCCCATGGCAGATTAGGGGCCTGGCAGCAGCAATGGGAGGCCCGTAATCTGCCAGCACCCTATGACAAAAAATGGAACACACCAGCAGTGTGTGAGGAGACCTGAAAGTGGCACATGGCAGAGTGTGGCGATGGACAGCAGCAATGGGAGGCCGTACAGGGACCCATGAGACTGTGGACCTGGCAGCAGCATGAGGAGGCGGTACAGGGGCCCATGGCAGATTAGGGGCCTGGCAGCAGCTATGGGAGGCCCGTAATCTGCCAGCACCCTATGACAAAAAATGGAACACACCAGCAGTGTGTGAGGAGACCTGAAAGTGGCACATGGCAGAGTGTGGCGATGGAGACAGCAGCAATGGGAGGCCGTACAGGGACCCATGAGAGACTCTGGACCTGGCAGCAGCATGAGGAGGCGGTACAGGGGCCCATGGCAGATTAGGGGCCTGGCAGCAGCTATGGGAGGCCCGTAATCTGCCAGCACCCTATGACAAAAAATGGAACACACCAGCAGTGTGAGGAGACCTGAAAGTGGCACATGGCATGAGACACAGCAATGGAGGCCGTACAGGGACCCTGGCAGCAGCATGAGGAGGCGGTACAGGGGCCCATGGCAGATTAGGGGCCTGGCAGCAGCTATGGGAGGCCCGTAACTGCCAGCACCCTATGACAAAAAAAATGGAACACACCAGCAGTGTGTGAGGAGACCTGAAAGTGGCACATGGCAGAGTGTGGCGATGGAGACAGCAGCAATGGGAGGCCGTACAGGGACCCATGAGAGACTCTGGACCTGGCAGCAGCATGAGGAGGCGGTATACAGGGGCCCATGGCAGATTAGGGGCCTGGCAGCAGCATATGGGAGGCCCGTAATCTGCCAGCACCCTATGACAAAAAATGGAACACACCAGCAGTGTGTGAGGAGACCTGAAAGTGGCACATGGCAGAGTGTGGCGATGGAGACAGCAGCAATGGGAGGCCGTACAGGGACCCATGAGAGACTCTGGACCTGGCAGCAGCATGAGGAGGCGGTACAGGGGCCCATGGCAGATTAGGGGCCTGGCAGCAGCTATGGGAGGCCCGTAATCTGCCAGCACCCTATGACAAAAAATGGAACACACCAGCAGTGTGAGGAGGACCTGAAAGTGGCACATGGCAGAGTGTGGCGATGGAGACAGCAGCAATGGGAGGCCGTACAGGGACCCATGAGAGACTCTGGACCTGGCAGCAGCATGAGGGAGGCGGTATAGGGGCCCATGGCAATTAGGAACACACCAGCAGTGTGTGAGGCAGCAGTGGCACATGGGAGGCCCGTAATCTGCCAGCACCCAATGGACAAAAAATGGAACACCCAGCAGTGTGAGGAGACCTGAAAGTGGCACATGGCATGAGACACTGTGGACCTGGCAGCAGCATGAGGAGGCGGTACAGGGGCCCATGGCAGATTAGGGGCCTGGCAGCAGCTATGGGAGGCCCGTAATCTGCCAGCACCCTATGACAAAAAATGGAACACACCAGCAGTGTGTGAGGAGACCTGAAAGTGGCACATGGCAGAGTGTGGCGATGGAGACAGCAGCAATGGGAGGCCGTACAGGACCCATGAGAGACTGTGGACCTGGCAGCAGCATGAGGAGGCGGTACAGGGGCCCATGGCAGATTACGGGCCTGGCAGCAGCAATGGGAGGCCCGTAATCTGCCAGCACCCTATGACAAAAAATGGAACACACCAGCAGTGTGAGGAGACCTGAAAGTGGCACATGGCAGAGTGTGGCGATGGAGACAGCAGCAATGGGAGGGCCGTACAGGGACCCATGAGACACTGTGGACCTGGCAGCAGCATGAGGAGGCGGTACAGGGGCCCATGGCAGATTAGGGCCTGGCAGCAGCAATGGGAGGCCCGTAATCTGCCAGCACCCTATGACAAAAAATGGAACACACCAGCAGTGTGAGGAGACCTGAAAGTGGCACATGTTTGGGGCATGATTCATGGCGGATTTAGTCAGTTGTGTCAGGAACTGGTGGTTTGAAATCCAGACTAATCCACGCCTGATTCATTTTCACAAACGTGAGTCTCTCCACACTTTGGGTGGACAGTCGTGTCCTCCGCGGAGTTACAATACCTCCTGCCGCACTAAACACGCGCTCCGATGCCACGCTACTGGCCGGGCATGACAGCCTTTCAAGGGCAAATTCAGCTAGTTGGGGCCAAAGGTCAAGTTTCGTTGCCCAGTAGTCAAGGGAATTGTCTACCTCGGTTGGCAGGGTGCTGTCCAAGTAGGCCCAAGCCTGTTGTTTGAGGTCCTGCTCCAGGTCCACCTGATGCTGCTGCTGCTGCTGCGGCTGGTTAGTAGTTTCCTCACTGCGCTGGTGAAGAAAGCTACTCATCATCGACTGCAGACTGAGGCAGCCGCTGCTGGTGGAGCTGCCACTGCTCCTACCACCCCCACCCCTCCCCTGCTGCCATGGCAGCGGAACGCGAGCGCACAGGGCCCACAGTGTCTGAGGATGGACGTTGGCGCAGAAAGGCAGAGACCAACTGACTACATAGGTGGGTTTTTATAGTACGTTATTTTGGCCTCCCTCTCAGCAGGTGTGAAAAAGGCCACCATTTTTGAACGGTAGCGAGGGTCCAACAAGGTGGACAGCCAAAAGTCATCCCTCTGTCTGATGGTTATTATTATTTGGCTGTCGCTACGCAAGCAACCGAGCATGCTATGGGCCATTTGTGCCAAGGAATGCGAGGGACTCCCTGCCTCCATCTCCACAGCATACTGCCACGGTGCGTCTGGGTCCTCTGTCTCCTCCTCCTCCTCTACCAGATGCTCCTGCTCCTCCACTCCTGTCCGCTGAGTGGAAAAACCACCCATTTCACTCAATAATTCCTGAGCACAAATGTCCTCCTCTACCTCCTCCTCTTCTTCCTGTCCTGCCCCCCACAGGGGTCATGTGGCGTTGAGATCTGTGCGCCACGTCTACCGCACCCTGACCAGCCATTGTTAACAGCATTTGTTCCAGGACGTGCAATAGAGGAATGACGTCGTTCATCCCATAGTCCTGCCGACACTCACGAATAGCGTGGCCTCCTCAAAGGGCCTGAGCAAGCGGCAGGTGTCACGCATGAGCTGCCAATGGCTGACATCGAAGTTACACAGGGGAGTACCTTTATCCGCTTGTAACATCAGGAAATCGGTGATGGACTTTCGCTGTTCGTAAAGGCGGTCTAACATGTGTAGGGTTGAATTCCACCTTGTTGCAATGTCGCAGATCAGGCGATGCTGTGGAATTCCGTTCTGCCGCTGCAGCTCAAGGAGGGTGTGCTTTGCGGTGTAGGAATGGCTGAAATGCATGCAAAGTTTACGTGACATTTTAAGGATGTCTTGCAGTGGGATGGTGGATTTTAGGAACCGCTTGACAACCAGATTGAACACGTGAGCCATGCATGGCGCATGGCACAACCTTCCTTGACGCAGAGCAGACACCATGTTCTTTCCGTTGTCGGTCAACATGGTTCCGATTTTCAGTTTGCACGGAGACAGCCATCTGTCGATTTCTCTGTTCATTACACTCAGAGTTCCTCCCCTGTGTGACTACGTTCGCCAAGGCATACCAGGTGCAGCACAGCGTGACACCGTTTCGCCCTGCACATGTGATATGCCGGTCGGGTAATGGGACTTGGCACGGGGGGGTGGCGGCTGAGGACACGGCGGAAGAAGAGGTGGTAGAGGCGGACATCTTTGCCGGACCAAGGACGTGCAAACGTGGAGGCAAAAGCGGCGTGACCTGTCCAAGTTGCTGGTGCGGCTGTGACGGCACCACGTTCACACAGTGGGCCGTAAATGACATGTACTGTCCCTGACCGTAGTTACAGCTCCACACATCGGCGCTGCCGTGCACTTTGGCAGAGACCGACATGCTCAAAGACTGGCCCACCATCTCTTCTACATGTGAATGCAGGGCTGGCACTGCCTTTTTGGCGAAGAAATGCCGGCTTGGCACTCTCCACGGCGGCGCGGCACAAGCCATCATTTCTCGGAAAGGTGCTGAGTCCACCAGTTGGAAAGGGAGGGACTGCAGCACCAGCAACTTGGACAGGAGGACGTTCAGCTTTTGCACCGTCGGGTGCGTGCTCGCAAACTGTTGTCTCTTGGAAACGGATTCCAAGAAAGACTGCTGACGGAATCCGTGAAGAGGAGTAGCAGGAGAAGGAGCATCTGAACGAGCGGAAGATGCCAACGAGCGACAACTCCCCTCAGCAGAGGTGTTGGAGCCTTGACTGGCTGATAGAGGGCGATTGACGTCGGGTGATGGAGCAAGTAACGGAGCGGGTGATGGAGCGGGGGGCTGGGGCAGGCAGAACCGCCGTATCTTTATCACGGTTTTCCCAGGCCACCAAATGGCGACGCTGCATATGCTGACGCAATGCTGTAGTCCCAACATGGGCCCCCTGGCCACGCTTGACTTTCTGGCCACATAGTCGACATACGCTACGTTTACTTCCTCGGGCGGCTTGACGAAAAATTGCCACACCGCCGAGTAGGAAACTTTGCCCCCGATACTCCTCACTGGCTGACTGCTGCTTCCTCCTCCGTGCACACCGGCACCACTACTGGCCGTGGTGGTAGGCTGCAGTGGAGCTGGTGCTGTACTCCGTGGCCGTTTGCCTCCACTGACACTGCTGCGACCCTGCTGCCCTCCTGGGCAACCCACCGACTGTTTTGCTAGCTGCCAAGCTGCCACCCTCTTCTCCTGATGATGCGGAAGCAATAGCCTGATGACGACGAGGCTGCCAAGTGCGATCAGCCTCATCATCATCAATTAGGGTCTCCGCCTCACTACTAGCCCCCTCTGCTGCGTGTGGGTCAGGAGACAGACCTGTCTCTAGACCGGCTACCGAGCCACTCTCCTCGCCACTACTTCTTCGCCTGGCTGCTGAAGAGGCGGATGTCTCCCCCCGTTCCTGACCGCCCTCTGTTAGCTCTTCCTCACTGTACAGTGGGGCTGAGCCCACAGCATGCGATACTTCGCTTGGTGAGGGAACACCAAAGGACAGGGGCAGGTAGAGGACACGTGATTTCAGTGGCTTGCTCCTGGGCCATGCTAACTAACGGTTGTGTCTGACGTACCCACCGACCGTTGGCTGTAGGTGTCAGAGGTGACCTGGGAAGAGGAAGACGACCGAGCCAACCAATCGATGACGGCAGGGTTGTCGGTGGAGACACGACCGCTGGATGACACCGGAGCACTGGCCTCTGGCTGCGACTAGTGCTGCCCTCGTCCCCCTTCCTCTGCTGCCACGTCTGCTCGCTCCTAAAACATTGCCTCCTCTGCCACTCCTCTGCATGTTGTCTGACATACTCTTTAATTAAACGATTCTGTGTCCCTGAGTAACAATTCTGTGTCTGTCCCTGAGTAACAATTCTGTGTCCCTGAGTAACAATTCTGTGTCCCTCAGTAACAATTCTGTGTCCCTCAGTAACAATTCTGTGTCTGTCCCTGAGTAACAATTCTGTGTCTGTCGCTGAGTAACAATTCTGTGTCCCTCCGTAACAATTCTGTGTCCCTCAGTAACAATTCTGTGTCTGTCCCTGAGTAACAATTCTGTGTCTGTCCCTCAGTAACAATTCTGTGTCTGTCCCTCAGTAACAATTCTGTGTCCCTCAGTAACAATTCTGTGTCCCAGTAATAATTCTGTGTCTGTCCCTGAGTAACAATTTTGTGTCTGTCCCTGAGTAACAATTCTGTGTCCCTGAGTAACAATTCTGTGTCCCTCAGTAACAATTCTGTGTTCCCTCAGTAACAATTCTGTGTCCCTCAGTTACAATTCTGTGTCCCTCAGTAACAATTCTGTGTCCCTCAGTAACAATTCTGTGTCTGTCCCTGAGTAACAATTCTGTGTCCCTGAGTAACAATTCTGTGTCCCTCAGTAACAATTCTGTGTCCCTCAGTAACAATTCTGTGTCTGTCCCTGAGTAACAATTCTGTGTCTGTCGCTGAGTAACAATTCTGTGTCCCTCCGTAACAATTCTGTGTCCCTCAGTAACAATTCTGTGTCTGTCCCTGAGTAACAATTCTGTGTCTGTCCCTCAGTAACAATTCTGTGTCTGTCCCTCAGTAACAATTCTGTGTCCCTCAGTAACAATTCTGTGTCCCTCAGTAATAATCTGTGTCTGTCCCTGAGTAACAATTTTGTGTCTGTCCCTGAGTAACAATTCTGTGTCCCTGAGTAACAATTCTGTGTCCCTCAGTAACAATTCTGTGTCCCTCAGTAACAATTCTGTGTCCCTCAGTTACAATTCTGTGTCCCTCAGTAACAATTCTGTGTCCCTCAGTAACAATTCTGTGTCTGTCCCTGAGTAACAATTCTGTGTCTGTCGCTGAGTAACAATTCTGTGTCCCTCCGTAACAATTCTGTGTCCCTCAGTAACAATTCTGTGTCTGTCCCTGAGTAACAATTCTGTGTCTGTCCCTCAGTAACAATTCTGTGTCTGTCCCTCAGTAACAATTCTGTGTCCCTCAGTAACAATTCTGTGTCCCTCAGTAATAATTCTGTGTCTGTCCCTGAGTAACAATTTTGTGTCTGTCCCTGAGTAACAATTCTGTGTCCCTGAGTAACAATTCTGTGTCCCTCAGTAACAATTCTGTGTCCTCAGTAACAATTCTGTGTCCCTCAGTTACAATTCTGTGTCCCTCAGTAACAATTCTGTGTCCCTCAGTAACAATTCTGTGTCTGTCCCTGAGTAACAATTCTGTGTCTGTCCCTAAGTAACAATTCTGTGGCACTAAGTAACGTTTCTGTGGCCCTAAGTAACGTTTCTGTGGCCCTAAGTAACGATTCTGTGGCC